TTCACACTCCAGTACTGTAGGTGGCAGCAATGCACCTTTAAGTTGGATGCCAGCTGCACTGACCGTGGCCGCCAAGTAAGGAGAAGAAGAAGTGGAAGCGGAGGAAGAAACCAACAGCAAAGACGTTAGATAGAAGCATAGAAACAAACAAACAATATGCATAACGCGGCCGCGGATTAAAAAACGGAATGAAAAGGGTGGGGCTGAGAAGGCGAGAGATTTTTTTTTTAGAATTTAGATACTGAAGCCGCTAAATGTCGCAAACTAACTGAAATATTTAGCAGCACAGCCAGCAGAAGCACCTCGCAGTTAAATATTAGCAGCAGACCCAGCAGTGAAGAAGTGAGGCAGACAGCTATGCAGCAACATGGCACCAGTGATGATGAGGGACAGAAAGATGAGCTGGTTCCACAGGCAGATACAGGGCAAGTAAGTAATAAATTAATTTTAAGACAGCATGGAATAGATTGTATAATATGCTGGTAGCATGTTCCATGCTATCTTGGAATAAAACCTGTTTTTTTTTTATCCATTCCATCATTTGTTTATTCAGTGTGAGCTTAGACCAAGAGCAGAGAAAGACGCCCACTCCAGCTTAACTTTAAATTACTTTAAGCGCCCCAAGTCAGACAGTCACAGCCTAGAGGTTTTTTTTACATACCACCCTCAGAAGAAGACAAAATACCTGACAGTACAGAGAGTGTTTAAACACAAAGATGGCACAGACAGAAAATGGCTTACATACTGTGAAGAGAACCATACCCTGTATTGTGCAGTATGTTTAGCATTTGCCAAACCAACTGAAACCAGTCCCTTCATAAGTGGAATGCAGGACTGGAACCATATCAGTCAAAGAGTTGAGGAACATGAAAGGAGCAACATGCACAGAGGTTGTGCTGAGGAATTTTTTTTTTTTGTCGAGTTTCCGCACGCCTATTGCTTTGGGCCGAGCCTAGTCAAAGTCCAGGGCCGTTTTTTAGTCCCAGTCCGTCCCTGCCCTCGTTGCTTAAGCATAGGCCTATATAGCTAACTTAATGATTCATGGATTTATTTAAATTATTTATGAATGATAGGCAACACTGACAGTGACAAGGAAAGCTTTATTTGAACTAATCATGTCATTTATTTAAATGAATTAGCTGTATGTCAAACCAAACTTTTCTTACACGGATGATGAACGCTGGTGTCTTTTCCATTTTTCCTGTAGCGCTTTAAAACTGATTTAAAGACGGCATTGCTTGACTTGAAGTCTTTATCCCTTATGATGTTGTATTTTGTAATGTGACGGTTTATACCTGCTCTGAGACGCATCAAACTTGCAACACTGTATTCGCGTCCAGCGGTAGACTGAACAGAGGCATAAAACTCCCGCAATGTCTCATTTAAAAGAGAAGCAGAGTAACGTTAGGTCTCGAAATCACAATTGTTCTGTCTTTGGCGCAACAAGTCACTGAAAGTGTTAACTGCCCATTTAGTTGTCTTTTTCGTATTGACCTCATTTTTGTCGTCTTCGATCTTATCTAGCTCTGTCTTTTCCCTCAAAAAAAAAAAAAAAAAGCCTAAAGGGGGTCGCACACCGGACGAGAAGCGCAGCGCCGCGTCGCGCAGCGCCAGGTCTTTAAAATTCGAACACATTATTCTCTATGAGTGTACACACACCGGCGGCGCCATTCGGCGTCTGTCCGCGGCGCCCAGCTACGGCTCAGGACCTTGTTCAAAACCCTGCCGCGCCACAGAGCGCCATTTGCATAGTTTTATATTAAATTTGCATTTATTTGTCTCAAATCGTCGTTAATGTACATGGCTTCACCCTGTGCTGTTTTCACTCGGGTTAGCTAAACGCTAGCTAAATAAATACTATTGTATTATGTGACATAGTTGCCTAGACAACGGATAACGTTACAACAAAATAACAGACTCAACGTGATAGACACTTTTACTTGATTAACGTTCAAACATCAGCTATTAATCAATGAACATAAAAAAAAAAAATAATAAATCAAGATAAAACACACATCGTGCAGCTCTTCTACCAGGAGTTGATTCAAAATTGTGCTCACGCCATTAGAATGTGCGTGTCCGGTGTGCGATACCTGGAGTTGTCCTAGACGTGGCGCGACGCGGCGCTGCGCTTCTCGTCCGGTGTGCGACCCACTTCAAACGTATCTAAGTAATATAAAGTAGTAGGCTATTTCGTTAGGCTCTCTCACTCTTTTGCAAGTGTAACTCTGTTACTATGGTTACCAATGTTTATAGTAGCGGATTAATTTCGAACTGTAATCAAACTGACTGGAACTACCTGTGCATTAAACGGTTTTACTGCACACCTTCCAGCCAATCAGAATCGAGTATTTAAACAGGCCGTGGTATAATATGTATTAAACTGTTATTTCTGGATGTTTGAAGCACTTTGAGCCATGCCCGAAAATGCTCCTTACCTATGGTAAAATCAATGTGCAAGTTCCTTTTCTAACATTTTTTCATAACAAATCTATTGTTATTTTAACAGTTTGGACAGAACTTATCATTCCATTTATAACTTAAGGTTTTTACATCCTAAACATGAAGCAAATCAAATATTTGATTGCTAATCAGGAGCAAAAGCACTCTCAAGCTTTATTAAGGCTTTGTGTTGTACAAAGAAATCTTGTTTTGATGGAGGCAGCCATCATAATTCTACCTACCGATTCTTTCAACAGCATTTGTTTATCACCACCAAAGGGCCATGGAACTTTTGTGCTTTTACTTTTCATTTATTAAGCATTAAGCATAAGCATTTCAAGCATAAGCATAAGCATTTCATTTATTATTTCATTTATTTCACAATTTAAGCATGGAAACTATATGTGTAATCAAATGGATTTAGTTAAAAAAAATTTAACAATGCAATTGCATGTAACCATATGTTTAGCTACAACAGCATTTTTATAAGTGGTGGTTTGATCACATTTGTTACGGTGGCTGCCCCAAATCAAATTTGGGCTTTTATTTATGTAAATTTAGCTTAAATTGTTCGGGCGCCAGACAAGTTCACCTTGTCAAAAAAAAATATATATATATATGCTGGATAGCTCCAACCACTGTTACATACAAAAAATAATAATAATAAACTGATACCCACAATTCAATTTTCACAGAGTTTGTATTATTTTTTTGTTCACATGTCAAAACAAAAGAAACAATTTCAAGTTTACATTCAAATATTCCCACAAAGAGAAATCATGAGAGTTATTGGATCACAAGTGTCCATAAGTTCGCTATTTGTTTAAACTCAGTCTTTCATGTTCCACTTCATCATCAACAAAAAAAAAAAATGCAATAAACAAAACAAAGAAAATAAATAATAAACAAATACATATACGTATTTGGTGTATGCGCGTGCTTGTACGGAGCGTGTATGTGTGTGTGCGGGTGTATAATGACCACGTGAAGCAGTCTGTGCAATGGCCGAGAATCCCTTGGCCGGGAGAAGAGCTTTGAGTTTGTTTGGTGAGGTTAAAAAGTTCGGAGGAGAGTTCGAAGGCTTTGACGTGAGGTTTAAAAGTGATGGCAACAAGAACAGTACCTGAAGCAGGCGAATCAAACTGGATAGTGTTGCTCCAGTCAACGCAACGAACCAGGAAGAGCGGTATTTCTCCGTCCCTTTGGCCGTCACACCCAGCAGCACACACACAGAATCTCCAGCAGGCAATAGCAGCAACTTTCTTCAGGTAACTTCCCACGTAGGAGGTGACGTTCTCGCGACCTTGTGCAACGTTCCCTAAAAGTTCTCTAAAGGTAACGAAAGTTCCGAACCTTTACAGAACATTAGGGACGTTCATAGAACGTCCTCTTTTGGTTATGAAAGTGCTGCAGTTCAAGGTTCCTTATATGACTTTAGGGGGACGTTCTATTTGGGGTATTTTATAGTCACATAGCAAACGTTACAAAGAGGACATTTGGGACGTTAACAGAACGTTTCCATACGGTTCTCTGTTGGTCATATAATAACGTTTCCAATGTGACTTTAGGGGGACGTTCCATACTGGTTATTCTATGGTCACACAACAACTTTACAAAGAGGACATTCGGGACGTTAACAGAACGTTCCCATACGGTTCTCTGTTGGTCATATAATAACGTTCCCGTTATTACTTTAGGGTGACGTTCGATATTGGTGATAATATGGTCACACAAAAACGTTACAAAGAGGACATTTGGGACGTTAACAGAACGTTTCCATACGGTCCTCTGTTGGTCATATAATAACGTTTCCAATGTGACTTTAGGGGGACGTTCCAGATACATAAACAACTTGCTAATTTTATGACTTACTGGCAACGAAACTGCAACGTCACGGGCCCGTTATTTCATTACCATCTTTCATTTATGTAAAGCAGTCTTTAGTGCTTTTACAAATCGGCTATATATAATAAAAATAAAAGCAATGTGATGGTATAAAAAATAAAGCATTTTTCAAGTGAATGGGTCATAGAACTACACAATGAGTTTTAAATTCATGATTTAAAATTAATGATATTTTAAATTGTTATATGTTAAATTATAGATGTTTATTTAAATGCGTGCCTTGAAGTGTTCTATGGTTTTAATGTGCGTGCGCGTAAACATTCGAGTCGCATTCAAAGACCGGAGCGCGCGCGAGCAGATGGAAACCATGGAAACGAGGACACTCATCAACTGACAAACAGCAAAACTATAGCGTCTCTCGCTGTTGTTTTCACTGCTTTCAGGTAATTTTAGTTAACAAAATCACACAAATAATACATACAAACGTTCCTGACACCTTTCTTACGTGTAATTGATACGCTTCTGTTGAATATTTACTTTACAGAAATGGTTTTGTGTCTTCGAAAAAGTCCGTTAGCATCTCAACCGTTTTCAGAAGAGGTAAGTTAAGTTAACGTTACACTGGAGCTCTTGTTATATATAAGTTTGGGGTTTTAACCACATCTTTGTGTTGATAACAGTTTTTGATAGTTTTGTTTTGCTGGTAATAGGCTCTATGCAGCGGGGATTGTGACGTGTTTCCGACTACACTCTCTACTGGGCAAACAGTTTCCGGTTCCGTATTAGATCTGACGCGCGAAAGTTAACAACGACAAACATTCTAGTTATTCTTATCTTGGCAGCTTAACTATGGAGAAAAAGGTTTTCCGATATCAAAAGCTAATGCGACCTAGTTCGGAACATTGTTGTGTGCCGTCGTGCGTTGTGTCGGCAAGATACAACTCGACTGTGAGTTTTCATTCATTTCCCGTGGAAGAGGATCTCAGAAAAAAATGGATCGTTAAGATCAGGAGGGATGACTTCCAAGTCAACAAAAACACAAAGGTGTGTAGTGTTCATTTCAAACCTGATGACTTTATGGAAGGGACTAGACTGAGACGTCTGAAAAAAGGTGCTTTCCCTACACTGTTTGAGTGGAACCGTTACCAAGTGCAGCCGCCGAGGTCGAGTGTTTGGGAACGGCGAGAGAGACCGCTGCCCCCTGATCCTGACTCGGACGTAGAGCAAGATATGGATATTGACGTGGAGAGGACTGGACACGATTATTGTTCAGTTCCCGAAGCTGCAGCTGTGGACATGGTATTACATGAAAATGAGGAGTTGACGAGGGAGATAGAAGATCTACGGAAGCAGTTGGACCAGACCAAGATCATACTTCGCTTCGGTCTCCAGAGATTTGCTGGGTCCGATGAGGACATACGCTTTTATACAAGGTAAAATTATATTGCCTGTGATAAGCATTTGTAATAGCGTTGCCTTTGTCTTGAAAACACTAGTCCACAGTGTTATTAAATATTATTTGAGTTGTATAAGCTAGCTGCACGTAAAAGTAGGCTACACCGACCAAAATAATAACAACATAGGCTAACATAATTATATGTATGAATAACATATGTTGTCTTCAACAGCAATCAGAGTTAGTTTAATCATACATACGGAATTCCATAATTTTCATGACTCATGATGTATTACAAGATTGTTGTATCAATTACTTGTAGTTCACCATTCTTATTTCCTAAACTGAAAATGACTATATTATAAAGCTAAGTGTAAGTCTTTTATGCCATGTGAGAACCAATGCACGTTTATTTCTTGACAGATTTGCAACCTATAACCACCTGATGGCCTTCTGGGAACTGATTGAACCGGCAACACACAGAATGATTCGTGTCACCAACTCCAAAGTCACCAAGGAGGCTGGAAACACTCGGGCACTTCCTGCAATAGATGAGTTCTTCCTGTTCATGATGCATCTTGCTTTGGGCCTCAAGCAAAAGGACCTTGGTCATCGCTTCCATGTACATCAGGCCACTGTGAGCCGCATCATAACAACCTGGGCCAACTTCCTGTACTTTGTCCTGGGGTCAGTGTGCATTTGGATGCCGAAAGAGAGAGTACGAGCCCATTTGCCAGAGGAATTTCATCTTTTCCGAGACACACAGGTTATCCTGGATTGTACTGAGATCCGCTGCCAAACACCTTCCTCTTTGCTATTACAAAGTGAGGTTTTTTCAAACTATAAGTCTCACTGCACATTCAAGGCTTTAATAGGAATGGCACCTCATGGTGCAATAACATTTGTGTCTGGACTCTATGCAGGGTCTATAAGTGACAGGGAGTTGTTCAAACAGTCAGGGATCATTAACCTTCTTACCCCTGACATGGCCATCATGGTGGATAAGGGCTTCTTAATTGACAGCCTAGTGCCATGCAAAATTCACCGGCCTGTTTTCCTGACCAAGGGAAAACAAATGCTACCTCATGAAGTGACACACACTCAGTCTGTGGCCAGGCTCAGGGTACACGTTGAACGTCTTATCCGTCGAGTGAAGGAGCATAAGTTGTTTGACACAGTCATCCCCTTGTCCATTTCTGGTAGCATAAACCAACTGTTTACAGTGGCATGTTTGCTTGTGAACTACCAATGTGGACCACTTGTCAAGGCATGGAGCCACTGAGTCTAAAAACCCTCATCCTTGTTAATGTGCTAAGGTAAATGTAAATATTGTACATATACTTTTGTAAAAACTATGGATTTCACACTCTGATCAACAGACAAAACTAAGACAGTGTTTCCTTATGCATTTTTTATTATAATTTCATAATGCATAACAACATATTTATTAACTAGCCTATACAAATCTAAATATATATGTACATATACATGTCTAATGTAATATAATAGATACAGGTGTATATATATTGTATAAATATAGTATGTGTGTATATATGAGTATTTTGTATATATATGTAAATAACAAATAATAATACAATAAATATATATCTACATATTAGGGGTGGAACGGTACATGTATTCGTATTGAACCGAAACGGTACGGGCGTCACGGTTCGGTGCACGAATTTGCACGCAGAATACACGGTACAAATAAAAAAACCCTCTTAAATAGCGATAAATTTCGCTCTATTCGCTTTTGGTGTGACTGTGAACGCAGCAATGAACAGGCTGCGATCAAGATTGCAATGCAGGAGTGTGTGTGTGTGTGTGTGTCTGTGTGAGAGAGAGAGAGAGAGAGAGAGAGAGAGAGAGAGAGAGAGAGAGAGAGAGAGAGAGAGAGAGAGAGAGAGAGAGAGAGAGAGAGAGAGAGAGAGGCGCGATGAACAGTGTGTGTGTGTGTGTGCGAGAGAGAGGCGCGATCGAACAGTGTGTGTGTGTGTGTGTGTGTGTGTGCGCGTGCGAGAGAGAGAGAAGCGCGGGCGCGATGAACAGTGTGTGTGTGTGTGTGTGCGCGCGCGAGAGAGAGAGAGAGGCGCGGGCGCGAATCGCGCGATGAACAGTGTGTGTGTGTGTGTGCGCGCGCGTGCGAGAGAGAGAGAGAGGCGCGGGCGCGAATCGCGCGATGAACAGTTTGTGTGTGTGTGAGAGGCACGGGCGATCGAACAGTGGAAACGTAAAAACATACTCCGTCATTTTTTTCATACAGGACATCATTAAAACTGCAAATTGTTTACTTATATTTGTGTACACTCGCAATAAAACACAACCTTGTGCTTTTGTCACACTCTAAACTCTTGTCAAACTGTAACCTACAACTGTTAACAAAAGTTTTTATGGTAGTATTATTTTATACGGAAATCAATTATTTATAATTCAGATGAGAATAAAGTTAGTTAATTAAAATGAAGGAAAACAAATATCTTGATCTGAAATAGCAAATTAATTTTAAATTCATTCAGGTACAATTACCAAACATATCTCAAGGTCTTTTCGTCTTTTTAATAATTTAATTAATAAACTAATTATATAAAACTACTGTCAGTGCACTACAAATAAACTGGTTCTATGCCTTTATTAATAAAACTTATTTTAAAAAATACAAGGCTTAAGACATTTATAAAAATGCCTTCTGCATTTTTGCTTTGCTTTTCACTCCATTGTACCGAAATCATACCGAACCGTGATGTCTGAACCGAGGTATGAACCGAACCGTGACTTCTGTGTACCGTTCCACCCCTAGTACATATACATGTCTAATGTAATATAATAGATACAGGTGTATATATATTGTATAAATATAGTATGTGTGTATATATGAGTATTTTGTATATATATGTAAATATTGTTTATAGTGTAAATAACAAATAATAATACAATAAATATAATGCTGTATATTATAATTGAATGGACCACCAGTGGTATGTGGCCACACTGTAACACACAGTCATGAAATAAAGCAACATTTGTACAATTGTAGAAATTGAGAAATACTTCACTGGTTATCTAAAAATGACCTAAACACGCAAACACTTCAGTAGGTAGTGGTAAAAAAAAAACAGATCTGCTCGGTCTCTAATGGTGCGCATTACATCAATATCTTTGTATATACGCTCAACAAACATGTCCTCCTGCGCACATACAACAAAATCACACCACTCGAAACCTGTTAGGAGGATCTGACCTTGCACTTGCCAGTAATACTTGTGCTGCCTCCTAAGCTGCAAAGAACCGTCTGACATTTTGAGGTAGGGACAGTCAACATAACTCTGGATGTTGGGGCATTTTATTTCCAGCAGGCCAAATGGTGGGTTGTCAGAAGGATCGAAAACGACTCCATCGGGAGAGCATCCCAGCCATGGAGCATCAGGGTGTATGATGAACCCGCAGGGTGAATAATTTACATTTTTTAAACTGCAGTACTCTGTCACGGCAACTGGCTCCATATCGATTCCTCTCCTCATGTCCTTTGTCATGACATTCCCCCTCAAAATTCTGTGTGCCAGATTTTCAGCAGATGTATGACAGCGAACATGGCATGCCTCGTGAAAGCGTGTAGATGTGACTCGCATCTTTCTCAGTCGATGCCATTCCTGGCATGAGCTCTGCTCCCGTGTTGCAGCTTCAACCCTGTGGGCCATGTCGAATGACACCTGTAGCGATTTCATATATACATGTTCCTCCTCTGATAACACATAGGCGCATGTGGTTGGCTCAAGCCTATAGCTTTGGATGGGAATAGAAGGTTGGGCAGGGGCGCCTGGGATGTTGATGATTTCCCGCATTTCTGGTGGTTTTAGCTGAAATGACAGCACACTCCCTGCCTGGACAGCCCCAAAAGCTGACTGAACTAATGGGACTTCTGCTGACATGCCCATGGTGGTCACTAGAGGTGCAAGCAAAGGGGGAAAGTGCTTGTATACCTCTGCCACTCTCAATGTGGCTAGATCTGGCATTTCTCCGTCCAGTGCTTTGTAGAGAGAACTTCTGAAAAAGGTAAAGTAAAAAAACTTTTTTTTTTAAACTGCAGCGTACATATTAAACACATAAACTAAAGGTAAAATAATCTCACCTCACACAAACCGCGGTTGAATTTTGAGGTTTGCGGACCTCCATGTCTCCCACCGGACCTGGCCTAACACCCTGACAGCAAAGACACATTTTGACATGGCATCACAATAGCTACATGTGCATAGGTACAATTCACATGACAGACAGATGACTTACCAAGGTCCTTGGTTTATGCCAGATCTGCTCAGTGTCAGTGCAACTGTGCACTGGGGGTACAGCAGGGATGCTTAATTGGGAGAAGTGTGCTGTTTGATACAGTAGTGCAACCAAATGGTTGCATAAGGCACACCCCGCCACACAGGAGCAGTGAGTGCTCGCCAAAATGACAGGTTTCGAGTGTTTTAACACCATCTAGGGAGAAATAGAAGCTTAGATGACAAATTCCTCTCAAGAGCTAAACTGTTAACAAGAGGAAAATATAACTAATAAAAGCATAGTGTATTCTAGATGAGGGGCACATATGTTAAAATGTAGGCCTACCCATTCAAGTCCATAAACAGTAGACAGAGACTAAGCCATATACATTTAGATAATGCTACTTATTAGCTGATATGGGCAACTTATCAACAGGCCTAACTAACTATTACCCTAACATTGACCCTAGTCACCCTACTCTCAATTCGTGTGGCTTTTCATTTTTCCTCATGGATCTATGACAGACTGCCCTCACGCTGACCTCTCCTGTCACCTTGTCTTTCATTGACACTGTTAGGGAGAAAGATGAACATACATTTTGAAACTGTTTTATTTAGTAAAAAAGTCAAACATTTGTAAAAAAAAATAATAATAATAATTGTATATATATATCTATCTATATATCAAAAAATGAGATGCCTACTCTCAGATAAATGAGGCCTATGGTTAATTAGAAGCAAAAATAAATATAAAACCAGTCCTAATTCAAAGAGAACAAGTTGACAAAAAGATTGACACCCCCCCTCCTTCCCCCTAAAAAGTAGGGGAGAGCAGGGCACAACGTAACACTTTTTGACTTACTCAGTTTGTGTAAATCTACTTAGGGTTTAGAGTATTTATTTTTCCCCACATTAATTTCCCACATGTCTAGTACAATTATGTGGTTTTGTTTTACTAATACGGTGTATACTTTTTTTTCTTGATATACCCCTAAAGAATAGAAGTTAAATGTGACAACATGCCATATAGGAGGGGCACATTGTAACATGACAGCTTAAAATGTTATCTGATCTAATAAAAAATATATACAAGTCAAACCAAAACATTTTCTCAATAAAATACAATTATTAACTTTTTCATATAAAATAATGGCATTTTTTAATGTATCAGATTTGTCTAAATTTAAATAAACACAAATGAATAGAGATGAAAAATTAATATAGTAAGAAAAATAATTTTGCTATGGTTAAATAAATGTTCAGTGATATCTTACAACGATTTCTGAATTTTGGCGCATTTTTTTTCTCTATATAGTGCTGATATGACAACTAGTAAATACACTAAGTTTCGTCCATAGACAGTAAAAGAGGTTTCGTCATGCTGGCATGTGTGGAAGTATTTAAAACAAGTGTGTTACAACTAGCCCCACGTTACGTTGTGCCCCGCTCTCCCCTACGAAAATTGTCAAATTTTCATTTCATTTCAATTTCTCGCAAACACATTTGAGAAGTAGTTATACCCTTTGTAAACAAAGTCGCTAAGTTTCAGTCCAATGCGATAACATTAACTAATTAAAATTTTCACCGGGTCAAAATGACCTACACAACCTGAGGGGTTAATATAGTAAGTACTTTAGCTACTTACCCTCATAATTGTCGATATAGCTCCCGATGTACATTTTAAATCCCTTTTCCCGCTTGCTGTTGGGAGCAGCACATGATTTTTTAATGAGTCGGTCTACATCATTTACCGTCAGACGAGGTAAGTCCTGAAAACAACGACTATAAAAGAGAGCCATATCTGACTGTGTATAAACAGGAAGTTGAACCGGAAGTTGATAGCCTAGTACACGCGAACCCGGAACTGCGACGTGCATAGAGCCTATTTGTCAATGGGTGATTGGAAGTAAGCTAGTACAGTTAACCAGTGACGTCACTTACAAATATTCACTTACAAAAAAAACAGTCTTTGTGCAGTTTACAGACACTATTCAATAACGCGATTAGAACAAAGCACTTAAGAATAAACTTCATCAGCTCTCAGCTCTCAGCTCTCTC